AAAGTAGTTATTCAAAGCCTCTTTTGGTTACTAGATTTAAAAGAATCTGCTGAAATCTAAGGAGCTATTCCTGAGAAAAATGCACATAAATAATTTTGTATATAAACTCATTCTGTCTGTGGATCTGCTTAACTATACACACTTTGAATAGTTGAAGCCTTAGTAAATTTTTTTTATTTTGTTATATGGGAAATTTCTTTCCACCAGTATTTGTTATAGTGGAACATATTCCTGTGTTCCTCCTTAGTGATTTAACCTTTAAAATATTTTTTCTGGGACTGGGCATGGTGGCTTACACCTGTAATCCCAGCACTATGGAAGGCTGAGACAGGTGGATCACAAGGTCAGGAGTTCGAGACCAGCGTGCCAAACGTGGTGAAACCCCGTCCCTACTAAAAATACAAAAATTAGCCGGGCATGGTGGAGCACGCCTGTAGTCCCAGCTGCTCGGGAGGGTGAGGCAGGAGAATGGCTTGAACCCTGGAGGCAGAGGCTGCAGTGAGCCGAGATTGAGCCACTGCACTCCAGCCTGGACGACAGAGTGAGACTCAGTCTCAAAAAAAAGTTTTCTGTTCTTAAAGCAACATTCAGAAGTGAAACTACTGGTTTGTATACAGTTTTTTTCCATTTGCTATCTGTGGGATTATTTGATATATTAAGTACTTACTCAGTAGTTGAAAACACTGTCAGATACATTATTTTCATTTACTATAGTAATTATATGGTTTAAATACAGTTGTCCATTGGTATCCTCAGGGGTTGGTTCCAGGACCTTTGCGAATACCCAAGTTCATACATACTCAAGTCCTAAAGTCTACCCTGTGGAGCCAGCATATATGGGAAGTTAGCTCTCCGTATTCACAGGTTTCATGTCTCGCAAATACAGTATTTTTTTTTTTTATTTCTTACAAGCTTTTTTCTCTTTAAGGAGCAGGCAGAGTTGGGTAAATGCTGTATTTTTTATTGCTTTTGGTATAAGTGGATCTGCACAGTTCAAAGCTGTTTTGTTTAAGGGTCAACAGTAGTAGTGTTCCTGTCTTACAAATGAAGATGCTGGAGGCTGAGAGGTTAAGCAAGCTGGCTAAGATAATACCAAGAGCTAATAAGCCAAGACTGGAATAGAGATTGTCTCTTCCCACAATCTGTGGTCTTTTCAGAAACTAATTTTCATTTAAAAAAACATACAGATATCTTTTTTCTCTAATAGATACCTGTCCTTAGCAAAGTTTACTTTTAATAATAAAAAAACAAGAAAAACAAAGTATATACCTACAAAAATAACTTTAAAGAAAATTAAGATGAAAGAGAAACTATCTAACATCCTGCTACTCTGGCAAATTAGACTAGGACTTTTACCACATTTCTTTACGACTCAATGTTAAAACAGAAGCCCTGGTGGTGTGAAGGGAAAAAAGCTGCTATGAAAGAAGGAACAGAAAAGTTTAGGGAGGTAGCTGATAGGATAAGTATATATGTTAGAGTGTAGGACTCAAACTTGACCTGGGTTTGGCTCTAAAAAGTCTCTTAGAAATCCGTTTGTTATAGATAAGTCCTACAGCAAAACCTCACTGGAAAAAAATATACTCCATGTGACATCTTCCTTTATTTGGTTACAGGGAGACATGTGACGTTTGTCATCCATGTTATCACGTTTGTGTTGTGCAGTATGGGTTGTGGGAAAGAACTTAGGAATGCTTGGAATTAACTTAAACTAGAAAAGGGACTGAAAAATAATATAGGAGAAAAGATTGAAGAAAAGAGGAAAGGAAATGGAGGGTTGTAATGAACCCAGGGTAGTTGAGCAAAGAAAGAGGAAAAAGGGCAAAGAGGGGAGCTAAATGATCTCTGAGGCAACTGAGTCTCATGGTTGCCTGAACTAGTCTATACTGTGGGAAGAAGTAGACTCTACTGATTTCTTTGAAGTACCAGTGCACTTCTTGCTTTCTATTCCTAGTCATAGACAAATTTACCAGTAACTTGAAATTATGTAGTGCAGTTTCTTCTTTTTAAGCTGCATTTAAATAATTATTAGTAGCACTTGGACCTTAGGTTAGAGAATCACTGTTTAATGATTTAATTTAAAGATTTCACCAGCACGGAAAACGCATTCTTTATATGATTGGGGAAAATTATTAGATTTGAGATTGTTTTACTTTGTAGCACTGTCTAAAGGCAGATTTTTAAAGGTGGCATATAATACAAGTCTGCCTTTCTTAGGATGATTGAAGTTACATGTTGTTAAAGTTCTTGGGGAATCTAGCATAGAATGCATTCAGCCCTGTAAATCACAACTTAATAATGCTTGCCTTGATATGCTCTGTTGCTCTGAGGAAGTTGTGTGGGCTGTTATCTCCTGAGAAATCCCTATAATGGTATTAGTAATACTTTATAAGTAGGTTGGGAGAATATAGTTTTCTAAGGCATTTTGAAATTCTTAGATGAAAGGCTCTTTATGTGGCAAATTGGTGTCAGCCTGTTTTCCTTCCTCTGAGCCAGGAGAAAGTAGGCATCATAGGGTGGGAAGGGTTGGCTTGTCTTTCAGAGTTCTTTAATAAATAGCTTCTGTTGAATTTAAAGTGGATGTCAGAAGCTCCCAAGAATATTGTTCAGTGTAAAAGCAGACTTTTTGGGATTTGGGTCTTGGAATGCCTTTTATTTTTTTATTTTTTTGAAACAGAATCTCGCTCTTGTCCAGGCTAGAGTGCAGTGGTGTGATCTTGGCCCACTGCAACCTCCGCCTCAAATGATTCTCCTGCCTCAGCCTCCTGAGTAGCTGGCACTACTGGCGTCCCCACCACACTAGGCTAATTTTTGTACTTTTAGTAGAGACGGGGTTTCGCCATGTTGCCCAGGCTGATCTTGAACTCCTGATCTCAAGTGATCCTCCCGCCTCAGGTAATCTGCCCGCCTCCTTAAGTGCTGGGATTACAGCTGTGAGCCACCGAGCCTTGGCATTCTTAACTGTATTTTCATCTAAGATTTAAAACAGGTTTAGGCCGGGCGCGGTGGCTCAAGCCTGTAATCCCAGCACTTTGGGAGGCCGAGGTGGGTGGATCACGAGGTCAAGAGATCAAGACCATCCTGGTCAGCAAGGTGAAACCTCGTCTCTACTAAAAATACAAAAAGTTAGCTGGGCATGGTGGTGCGTGCCTGTAATCCCAGCTACTCAGGAGGCTGAGACAGGAGAATTGCCTGAACCCAGGAGGCGGAGGTTGCGGTGAGCTGAGATCGCGCCATTGCACTCCAGCCTGGGTAACAAGAGCGAAACTCCGCCTCAAAAAAAAAAAAAAAAAACAGGTTTAAAAACTAGTTTGTAATTTGCCAGACTTGGGAAAGATACAGTCCTTTAATGATCCTGGGTCTCAACTTATCTTTCTCTCATTTTTCCTTTATTTCAGAAGAGGGATAAGAACTGACTTTTTCTGAAAAGCAGTCAACTTTTACTTTCACTATATAGGATTACTTCCATGAATCTGTTAACTTAATCTTTGCTGTCAAATAACTTGCGGTAGATGCTGGGACAATTTTAAATCTATTTTAATTTGTACATTCAGTACATCAGTCATCCATGTAAAAACAGCTATGTTTGGAAGATCTAAAACCCAGCTTTTGTTCTTGAGAAGCTAACAATGTATATAATATATATGTACACCTAACCATAATGCATCATGTTTTTTGAAAAATGCAGGTATCTCCCAGAATTACCCCTAGTTAAAAAAATAATTGTGAGCAAATGGCAATATAAGGATTTTGGAGTAACTTAATACCACTAGATTTTGCTCTTTGTGCATTTGCAAGAAAGGTTCTGCAAATGCTTAAGAAACACGAACAAGTCTAGATGCATAAAGGAAGGTAGGGCTAATTTACTTCCTCGTGCTATGAAACTGCAATTGGACAGGTGCAATTGTGGGTGTCCTTTTTTTTTTAAGGTGTACTATTGCAGGCTTGAAAAGCTGTTGATCCTCATGGGTTGGTTGGGTGCATGTTCTCTTTAAAAACAAGATGTATTCATTCCCATTGTTGAGTATACTTTGCTACTCGCTACTGGTGAGACTGATAAGCGGATATCCAAAAAGTTTGGATACCAAATTAACTGCACTTGAGTTTCCAGTGACCCCGTTAAATTAATGGGTAAATTTTCCAACGCAGTGTAGTCACGCAATTTATAGATTAAGCTTTCATATCCTTAGATTGTATCTGAAGTCTTCATAGCTTTGCTCACCTTTTAGGGTTCAGAGTTACTACCCATTCAGAGTCTGTGGCCTTTAGCTGTTGGCAAGCTTCTAAGTAAACTGCTCTTTTGCTGAGATCTGCACCCGCTCTATTCTTCCACTCCTGGGTGGTGGAGAGCCAAAGTTCACTTGAGTAATGCGCGTGCCCAGCATCCACTAACCCTGCAGGGGTTAGCACGGATACTGGCAGCTCCCCCCACCCCCATGGGATGTTGGGATTTGGTTTTGAAGAGGACCTGTGAAAGGAATTACCCGATCTATATTTGTATAATGAGTCCAGACACCACCTTGCAAAATAATTGAGAATTCAGCCTGTTTATAGTGGAGTTTCTGCTTTTCACGGCCCTTGGCCTCACCGGCGGTTTACAGTCCACCCAGATTTAGTTCACAAAAAAAAACCGTAGGTCGACCTCACTGCAGTGTATGATGGCAGCGATGGTTCTAATGCGCAGGACCTTTAGTCTCCTCAACAGTTTTGTCCAAAGTTGTCCAAAAGTGTCTCTTTAAAAGTGAGGTCATCCAGTCGGTAAACGCTTTGAAAAAGAATAGCCGTTCCTTGAGCGGACCTTAGTCGCGTGCGGGGTCGACGCTCATTGTAGCGTCCGTTCGGATCGCGGGGCGCGGGCCTGTGTGGGAGCGCCTCGGGGCGGGGCGGGGCGGGGCGGGGCTGTCCTCCCGCGGAGCGTGCTGGGGCCCAGCGGCGGGCCTGTGTGGGAGCGCCTCGGGCCGGGGCGGGGCGGGGCGGGGCTGTCCTTCCGCGGAGCGTGCTGGGGCGCAGCGCGCCGGCCTTGGCCGCTAGTGCGCATGCGTGGGCGTCCTCTGCTCCAACTTCCCACGCGAATTTCCACGCGCTGGGAAGTCCGTTACCTGAGAGAGACCCATGGCCAGCATGTCGGAGGAAAAAGCTTCCCGGAAGGGAGACGAGGAGGAAGGAGAGGAGCAGCTCGCGATCATCCCCGGTAGCGAGTTCGCGGCAAGGCAGGCGGCGGAGGAGGGAGCGCCCACGAAGATGGAAGTGGCGGTGAGGGCGGCGGGCTGCTCCGACGACCTCAGCTCCTGGGAAGCCGACATTGACCCAGTGCTCTTGGAGCTCGCCGCTGACGAGGAGAAGTGCCGCAGCATCCGCAGGCAGTACCGGCAGCTCATGTCCTGCGTGCGGCATCACCGGGAGGACATCGTGAACTCGGCGAGCGACTCCTTAACCGAGGCTCTGGAGGAAGCCAACGTGCTGTTCGATGGCGTGAGCCGAACCAGAGAAGCGGCGCTCGATGCCCAGTTTCTTGTGATGGCTTCTGATTTGGGTAAAGAAAAGGCGAAGCAGCTAAACTCGGACATGAACTTCTTCAATCAGGTAGCGTTTTGTGACTTCCTGTTTGTGTTCGTGGGTCTGAACTGGATGGAAGGTGAGCCTGACGACTTGAGTGGCTGTGACGACAGGGTCACCCTTTCCTTCTGGGAGGCCGTAGGAAAGGAAGCAACATCCTGGATGGTACAAGCAGAAACGTTCCATTTTGTTTTCGGTTCTTTCAAGCCGCAGCCTTCTGCACCAAAGCCCCGACTGGAACACCAGAGAAGAGTTCGCAGAATGGAAGAAAATGGGAATATGCCCACGAAGTTGAGGAAGTTAGACCTGAGTAGTTACCCAGAAGCGACCGAAGAAAACGTAGAAAGGATTTTGGGATTGTTGCAAACCTACTTTCGAAAGTATCCTGATACTCCGGTGTCCTATTTTGAGTTTGTGATTGATCCAAACTCTTTTTCTCGTACTGTGGAGAATATATTTTACGTTTCTTTTATTATAAGAGATGGTTTTGCAAGAATAAGGCTGGATGAAGACAGGCTGCCAATATTAGAACCGATTAATACTAACCAAATGGGTGAGGAAAATGATTCCAATTGCCATGGCAGGAAACAGGGAGTTATATCTTTGACTTTACAGGATTGGAAGAATATTGTGGCAGCTTTTGAAATTTCTGAGGCTATGATAAACTCCTCAAGCTAAAGATTTCTTAGTATAGGATCCTTTCTATGTTTTTTTTCCTGAAGTTGTTTCAGAGAGTTAAATCTAAACTGAAGCACATATTGTATCTCTTGTAAGCTGAAAAAATATTTTCGGAAACATTGTTCTACTGTGCAGCGTATTTTTCTTAGTAATTTGTAAGACCATGATGTTCTGTTATTTAAAAAAAAATTCACTGGCATATGAATGAGAATGTTTTATTGAATGCGCTTTAAGACTATTTTAATAAAAAGTTTTGGATACCAAATTAAAGGATATTTGATAATTTACAAAACATAATAGTTTATGAAAACCAGTTATGATGCTCTGTGATAAGGTGTTGCTTCCTCTGTTACAGGGAACCAAGAGAATCCCAGAAAGGATTTCTTACCAGGTTGGGGAAAGAGTGGGTAAAAAACAAAAGTCAAAAAAACACCCCTGTCTGTAAGGCAGTGAATAGGTACCGTTATGACTAAAAACGTCATTGCAAAGAGGACTTAACATTTGTGAGTGAGGGCCGGGTAAGGTGGCCGACGCCTGTAATTCTAGCACTTTGGGAGGCCGAGGCTGCTGGATCACCTGAGGTCAGGAGTTCAATACCAACCTGGCCAACATGGTGAAACCCCCGTCTCTACTAATAATACAAAAGTTAGCTGGATGTGGTGGCAGGCTCCTGTAATCCCAGCTACTCGAGAGGCTGAGGCAGGAGAATTGCTTGAACCCAGGAGGTAGAGGTTGCAGTAAGCCCAGATCGAGCTGTTGCACTTCAACCTGGGCGACAGAACAAGACTCAAAAAAAAAAAAAAAAAGATTTGTGAGTGACTATCCATGTTCTAGTTTCTCCTGTTACTAGACTCAGCAAAAGTAGTATCTCTGCTGAGTAGTATCAGCTAAGCGCTGAAAGGTGAGTAGAAACACAAGGAAGGGAAAGGCATTCTAGGCAGGAGAATAACAAGGTCAAATGCATGGAATTGTTAACAGCACAAGAGACCTGTTAGATTTATGGAAACACTATTATATTCGAATGTTAAGCTGGGCAAGAATTGAATAACTTCATCTATTAGTATTCTCAGAATATGTTTTTGTCTATTATACTTTGAACACAAAATCATTTGGTATCCATCCAGTTTTAGTTTTTACCGAACTTCTGCTCTGGTCCCTAGTGTCCCTTTGTTGTCTTTGCTAGTACACAGAATGTCCTTCAGAACCGTGGTGTTTCATCATGTAACAACTTTAAATATTTGTCCCACTTCAATGTTGCATTTCTTTTTGTTGTTGTTGTTGTTTGCTTTTTGAGATGGAGTCTGGCTCTGTCACAGGCTGGAGTGCAATGGTGCTATCTTGGCTCACTGCAACCTCTGTCTCCTGGGTTCAAGCAATTCTCTGCCTCAGCCTCCCGAGTAGCTGGGATTACAGGTGCCCACCACCACGCCCAGCTAATTTTTGTATTTTTAGTAGAGATGGGGTTTCACCATGTTGGCCAGGCTGGTCTTGAACTCTTGACCTTGTGATCCACCTGCCTTGGCCTCCCAAAGTACTGGGATTGCAGGCGTGAGCTACCGTCTGTGCCCAGCCTTATTTTTCTTTGAGACAGTCTCTCTTGCTGCCCAGGCTGGAGTGCAGTGGTGGGATCTCGTCTCACTGCAACCTCCGCCTCCTGGGTTCAGGCAGTTCTCATGTCTCAGCCTCTAGTAGCTGGGATTACAGGTGCATGCCATTACACCCAGCACATTTTTGTATTTTTAGTTTGAACAGGGTTTCGCCATGTTAGCCAGTCTGGTCTCAACTCCTGGCCTCAAGTGATCCTCCTGCCTCGGCCTCCCAAAGTACTGGGATTACAAGTGTGAGTGAAATTTTACGTTTCTTAACAGGGCTTTAAATGCTAGGAAACTGCCCTTGCTGAAACTAAAACATGTTAGTTCATCTAGATGTTCTTCACTTAGTGTAAAGCCATAAAGGCTTTTTTCTTTCTGTTGCTTGTAGTTGTTTTAGGAATATAAATTACAACCTTATTTGGAGATTATTGCCAAGAATTTGGGTCATTAGGAAAACAACTTGAGAAGGTGCAGTAAGCATGCCCCATAAGCTTTTTTTAAAAGACAGGGTTTCACCATGTTGGTCAGGCTGGTCTTGAACTCCTGACCTCAGGTGATCTGCCCGCCTTGGCCTCCAAAGCGCTTGGATTACAGGCATGAGCCACCACGCCTGGCCGCCCCATAAGCTTTTTTACCCCAATTCCTATAGGAGCTTAATGTTTGGTAGTCGTGGAATTTTGCTGTTAGTAATTTAGCAAATGTTTAGGCATCTGTTATGCATAGCAGTGGCAAACTTTCCTACTAAGTCTGGTGGTACAGGAAAGGGAAATCCAAAGACAGACAAATGACACTAAGATTGAGATGAAGGATCTTCCATGTATGGGGATGAGGTTCTTCACCAATGATATAGTAGAGGTTTTAGCAAAAACAACTTTCTCATGAAACTTGGCCAATTATTTTCTAAACTAGTCATTCCTTCTTTCACATATGAAAGAGTGCTGACCCTTGCTAGTGTCTACTCTCCTTTGATTTATAGTAGCAGTCGTGGAAGCATCATTTGGTCTCACTGATCCTCACTTCAGCATGTCTCTACTAACCAAGTTCCTTGGGTTTTGCAGAGATCTGTTGCTGAAAGAAAAGGTACTCTCACTGACAGCAAAAAGATCCCGCCCCAGTACTTTACTGCCAATCAGTTGCTCTGTTGAATGCTTCAAGTCTTTACTAGGAATATTTGACAATGATGACTTGAAAGCATTAATAGAGAATCTGGAGACTTAGGAGAGGTAATTTTTTGGGTCTTCTCTAAAGTTAATAGCTGTTAAGATATAAAGTTAACCACTAGTGTTTTTATTTTTACTGGTTGGCATGACACCAGTAAAATGATACGGTGTGATAGATTGCCTCATTTTTGAAATTAAAGTGACTGCTTACCTTGAAGAAATAAGGAGATTAAAAATATTTATAGTTTAAGAATCAAACTGCAAATTTGCTTGTTTCTTGATAATATAGATTACTTTAAATTTTGCAGGTTCAATAAACTGAAATGTAGGAAAATTTTTGTTGTTTTTGAGACAGGGTCTCTTGCTCTGTTGCCCAGGCTGGAGTGCAGTGGCACAATCATGTCTTAGTGCAGCCTTGATCTCTCAGACTCAAGTGAGTTGCTTGCCTCAGTCTCCTGAGTAGCTGAGACTACGGCCGCGTGCCACCGTGCTCAGCTATTTTTATTTTTATTTGGAAGAGACAAGGTCTCATGTTGCTCAGGCTCATCTTCAACTCCTGGGCTTAAGAAATCCTCCTGCCTGGCCGGGCGTGGTGGCTCAAGCCTGTAATCCCAGCACTTTGGGAGGCCGAGGCAGGTGGATCACAAGGTCAAGAGATCGAAACCATCCTGGTCAACATGGTGAAACCCCGTCTCTACTAAAAATACAAAAAATTAGCTGGGCATGGCGGTGTGTGCCTGTAATCCCAGCTACTCAGGAGGCTGAGGCAGGAGAATTGCCTGAACCCAGGAGGCGGAGGTTGCGGTGAGCCGAGATCGCGCCATTGCACTCCAGCCTGGTAACAAGAGCGAAACTCTGCCTCAAAAAAAAGAAAAAAAAAAAAAAAAAAAAAAAAAAAAAAAGAAATCCTCCTGCCTTAGCCTCCCAAAGTGTTGAGGATTAACAGTGTGAGCCACCACACCCAGACTAGGGCAATATTTTTAAGAAATATTTTAAAAGTATTTTCAGAATATTTTTATATAATCGAACTATTGAATGGTAGAACCACTTGCTGGTTAAGAATCTGGGCTCAGAGCCTCACTCTGTAACGTTCTAGTTATGCATTTTGGATAAATTATTTAACCTGTAAACATCAGGTTTTTCATTTGCCAAGTGGGAATAAGTTTACAGTAAGAAAGTAGAAAACGTTTGTGATATGTACTTGGAGATATTAATTACAGTATATAGTATAGTTGGAAAAGCAAGAGGTTTGTCATCTCTGTAATCGAAGTTGGGCTGAATTCTTGGCTTGTGGGCAAGTTTCTTTATTCTAAGGGCCTCTATTCTATATGAAATGGGAATAAACATCTGGCTGGAAAACTTTATTGTGAGGGTTAAATGAGATAATATATAAGAACATTTTTCTCATTGTAGACTCCATGTTAGTGGCTCACTCTCTAGATCAGAGTCAGCAAATTCCATGATGTCACCTCCCTCCATGATAATGGTTCATCTCTGTAATGATTTATTTACTTTCCTTTGATTCTCAATGACTGTTTATCGTGGTTTTTAGACCCTTGTCCTAGGGGATGTATTACCAAGTGATTAGTAATGCGTTTATTCTACAACTGTTTGAGTACCCATTTTGCCAGTCACTGTTCTAGGCACTGGTGAAAGAATGGTGGATAGAACAGTGCCCACCTCTCATGGACTTCACAGTTTAGTGGGTATATTCGTTTTCTATTGCTGCTCTATCATACTACCAAACATTTAGTGGTTTTAAATGACACTAATTATTTTACAGTTGTGGAGGTTGTATGCTAAAAATCCAAATACATAGGTCTGGTTCCTTCTGGAAGCTCAGGCAGAATCTGTTCCCTTGCCCTTTTGAGCTTCTAAAGCCCACCTGCATTCCCTGGCTCACAATCTGTCCCTTGCTCTATTTTCAAAGCTGGCAATGCAACCTCTTCTGTCCTCACATCTCTTGGTACTAAAATCAAGTCTCTCTCTGCATCCCTCTTATAAGAATACTTGTGATTACATTGGGCCTAGTGGGATAATCCTGGAAAAAGATCTCTCTAAATACTTAATCATTCTCCAAAGTCTCTTTACACATAACATATTAACTGGTTCTAGCAATCCAGGCTTCGACCTTGGAGAACCATTGTTCACCCTATCATAGAGAAAGACAGCATATTCCCGTTAATGATGATAGCTCTGAAGAAAAGTTGCTTAGGCCGGGTGCAGTGGCTCATGTCTGTAATCACAGCACTTTGGGAGGCCTATACGGGCGGATCATGAGGTCAGGAGTTCAAGACCAGCCTAACCAACATGGTGAAACCCCATCTCTGTTAAAAATACAAAGATTAGCTAGGCCTGGTGGCACACGCCTGTAATCCCAGCTACTCAGGAAGCTGAGGCAAGAGAATCACTTGAACCTAGGAGGCAAAGGTTGCAGTGAGCCGAGATTGTGCCACTGGACTCAAGCCTGGGTGACAGAACAAGACTCATCTCAAAAAAAGGAAAAGTTGCTT